AGAAGATATAGAATAGAGAGAAAAATGAGAACGCCTTCCTCTGTATCGCCGATGACTTGTTCGCCGCCCTCATCTTCCTCAGGGAAAAAAAGAAAACCTCCTCCTTAATTATGTATTGACACTGATAGACTCATCTGAGAGTAATTTTTCAGGTTTGTGTGCTGATTTAATTACGCATCATAAATGATTAATTATCACAATAAATTCTCTTTCTTAGTCCTTGATATAATCTCTCCAGTTAACTATAAACTAATTTCAAACATTCTATGAATTCAGCTCAAATTATGTACTGACAGTGCTATATATATTTTTTCAAATCTTTTCCTGGGCAGCTGCCTAGGGTAAAGCTAATGTGGCTTCGCCACTGGACACGAGTGTAATGGTTGGACAACAACGTCATTTGAGTTTCTTGAAAAGCTTATGGAGTTGCAAGGTTTTTAAAAAGGTGAATCATGAATCATGTGGAGGATTTGTCGCTACATTCTGCCAATATATGTTAATTTGAGCGACTTGTAAGATATATATGTACGAATGGTATTGATAATGTGCTTCATGTTAGGGGCTGCTTGGTTGGCTAAGAAACTAAGAAAAGGAAATCAAAACACCCGAGACACCTGTTAGACCCTAGAGGAGGGGGGTGATTAGGGTCTTATGCTAATCTAATCCGATTTTATGCTAATTAAAACTAATTAACAAGTTATCCTAACAAGTATGAAATACAACAAGATATGTGAGCTAGGATAAGCAATATGAACAATGAGATATATCCTATATGATAAAAAATATATGTAAGGATATATAAACTAACACAAGGGTGAAATAAACATAAACAAGATAAGAGTGATAGTGTAAATAAACAATGCAAACACACAATATGATCACGGAGTTCGGACCTTCCGTCCTACGTCTCCCTTCCCCACTCCCGGGGAGAAATTCACTATCACAACCGGGTTTTCTACGCTTACCCGAATAACGTTTATACCTCACAATATCGGTTTTCAACGCTCACTGATCAACGTTCACACCTCACACTCTCACTCGGTTTTCTAGATCACCAAAAACTTTACAACAGCACACTCGGTTTTCTAGCTTACCAAAAACCTTACAATCTCATAATATAACAAAAGTTGTTCTCTATAATGAATAAGAACTCAATTAAGCACAACTCAATGTTACAATCCCACAACCCAAATTATACTATGAATGTAAATACAATAAGCTCAAGTGGGTATGTGTAAACAATGAGTAAAATCAAATCTAAACTCAATTAGCAAACTAGCAATAATAAGAATATAAAAATCAATAATAAAATTGCTAGAGAAAAGAGTTAGAAAACTTCTCTATAAACACAAAGAGAGAATGATGAAATATTAAAGATGAACTCCTCAACAACTGATGTAAGCTCCTCCTTGTAAAAACAAACCCCAAACTTAAAACAAACTAAAACATGCTTAAACCCTTGTTAAACTTTTATTTAAAAACTTCTTGGATGATGTCTGGTAGAAGGGGTTTGAGGGGTTTATATAGGAAGAGAAACCAATAGAAAAAACCCTAAAGGAAAAGACCAAAAAGCCCAAGAATCAGAAATTAGATTCTGTACAAAAATGACCGTTGGGGTGAACGGCGGTCGACCGTGAAATTCTCGAGGTCGACAAGGGGTTTGAGGGGTTTATATAGGAAGAGAAACCAATAGAAAAAACCCTAAAGGAAAAGACCAAAAAGCCCAAGAATCAGAAATTAGATTCTGTACAAGCGAAAGTTACTGATGGCTCCGCAGGGAAAATCAAAGACGCGGTCGACCGTGACGGTCGACCGTAAACTGACATATGAGAAAACAGGTTTGAAAGTTGATTTTTTGATTTTAAAACCCTGTTTAAAAATATCAAATAAATTCTAAAAAATGTAAAACTTTAGGGAATGATTGTAGACATGATAATAAACTTGGCTAAGAATTCCATATTTTATTCTAGAACGAAGCACATTGGGCTTCGGTACCACTTCATCAGATCCATGTTAGAACATGACGTGTTGAAACTAGAGAAAATTCTAGGAAGTAAGAATCTAGCAGATATGTTAACAAAGACGGTGACCGTTCATAAACTGGAGTTGTGCGCAACTTTAGTTGGCCTTCATGCATAGGTGATGAGGGAGGAGCCACACAGAGGAGATGCTTATTAAGATAACCTGCTAACGGCGGTTTGGTCTCCAAGTGGGAGATTGTTGGACTTGGGTGTGAATCCAAACCTGATGTAGGCAAGATCCGGCGAACTCGAGGTTGACCTTGAGGCTGACGAGCTTGAGGACTTCGGGCGAAGTCAAGCTCAAAGTGGACGAAGTTCTAGTGAAGAACGAGGTTGAAGCTCGGGAGAAGTCGAGCTTTGAACGAGGCTGAGCTCGCACGAACACGAGGTTCGTGTGAGAACGAGGTTCGAGCACTGGGGGTCGGATGAGGTTGAGTTCAAGCTGCGGACGAGGTTCGAGCAGGCGACGCTTTAGCACTGAGCTACGGACGAGGTTCGAGTTTCGAACGAAGTTCGTGCCCGCAGTCGAACTTCAACTCCAGGCGAGGTTCGTGCCCGCAGTTAAAGGCGATGTCCGTGCGTTCGTGGGCTGGTGATAGCCTGTTGCCAGTAAGACCCTAGGGTTTTCCTATAAAAGGGAAACCCGGATCTCGAGGTCGGTATGCGAGCTATGTGCGCCTCCACCTCCTCCTCCTTCTTCTTCTTCTTCTTCCTCTCTCTCTCTCTCTCTCTCTCTCTATCTTGATCATCTTTTTCAGCGGCGGGTTTCAAAATCCCAGCAGCGATGTTTCGTGGATTTAATTCCCATATCTCAGATTTGAGTGGGGATTAAAGGAGTGCTTAGAGAGAAATTGAACATTGTAGCTACAGTGTTATTGTTGCAATTTGATCAGTTTGAGATTGGTTCTAAGCATTGTAATTTCTTGTTAATTAATAAGAAATAATTGTGTGGCTCCCGAGAACGTAGGCAGTTGCCGAACCTTATTAAATCTTGGTGTACTTTCTTCTATACCGCGGTTTTGCTGTTTTAGGGTTTTTGCGGTAAATACCCAACATAGAGGTCGGCTGTTTTCGGGGGGTTTTACCGCTAGGAAGAGAGGATCATCTGCGCCAGGGTGATAGGCGGGTCCTCAATCTTCTAGGTCTCGATCAGGCCAGACTTTCTTATTATTTTACTTCAAATTTACTTTACATGTTATAACCTTTGATTTGATAAATTTCCAATAAGTAGTCCATATTTTGTGAACTTCGACATGTTAAATGTACTTATAATAGAGCTACGCATTGTTTAGCGCAACATGCTTTATTAGTTTTGATATAGTCGTGTCGCTTGAAGAATTGCCACCATTTATTCATTCCATTGTAATAAATGATTATCAAATGAATAAAGAGCTTTGCTACAGGGACCCGAAATATGGGACCAATAAGGAGGACAAGTGAGGTGGCCTCATCCTATTGGATAATGAGTTGGCCATCATTAATGATGTCCAACTCATTATCCAATAGGAGGGGGACACCTCACTTGTCCCCTCTATTGGTCCCATATTTTGGGTCATTGAAGAATTTTTCATGAATAAAATTTTGTGCTGAACTCTTTCCTCGTCGGGATTTACCCCCTTGGGTTTTCTTGACAAAGTTTTAACAAGGCGGCACATCATCTTTTCCATTAAAAAAAGATACAAAATCACATTGGTCCCATTTTCCAAGTATATGTACACCAATATATATATTCTTGAAATCCTGGGCATGCATTTATTAATAAATTCAAGATAATATATGATTTACATGAAGGATTTCCTTAATTTTACTTGAAATAGTCCAAAATTTTCATGCTTGATCCTCGTGTATTTCTACAAGCCTTTCTTAGACGATGAGAATAACATCAAGCAATAAGATGCATCATCTTATGAATGTCTCTCATTGGTTTTAACCTTTCATTTATGTCATTTACACCTTCATTTTAGGGCATTACATCGATTTAATTCCAGTATAATATATCATAATCACGGGCACTAAAAATTATGAGTAAATATAAATAACACTATCTAGGATTGGCGAACACTGTTGAAGAAGCTCAGGAAAAACAGTCTGAAAACTAGTCGGTCGACCGCCGAAGTGTCGACCACGAGGACTTCGACGGTCGACCGGAAATGTGCACAAGATCGAAGCAGGTTTCTGGAATTAGGACTGTAGACCGTCACAGTTAACCTCCAGGGGACCTGTAGGATTCTGGGTCTCTGGATTTGGTTCGGTCGACTGCCGCGGTTGACCGTAGAAACCCTGTAATCATTTTAGCTTTATGTCGTTGCGTGCGGTCGACCGCGACGAATTTGGCGGTCGATCGCTAGTCAGGTTTTGAGTTGGGTTTAGATTTCAGATCCGTTTCGTTATGAGCTGATATATAACCCTAAACTTTATTAATTAGGGTTAAGTAAGGACGACTTTGAGCAGCTTTTGAGAGAGAATTGTGCATCATTTGAGGGAGAATTTGTGAGAGATTTTGAGAGCTTTGTTCGAGGATTTTTTGTCGAGATTGTAAACTCTAATAGTAAAAAACTCCCACCTCCTTGCCCCGTTGACGTAGGCAACTTGCCGAACCACGTAAAATTTGTTTGTCTTGCTGTGGTGATTGTGTTTTACTTATTTGTTGTGATCTATCTCGTTCTTGTTCGTGCTCTTTCGTGTGTTTCGAGTTCTGCTGCGTACAACACAGTACAGATACGTGTATTGACCAATTTCCATGCACGGGTGTTAATTAAACAATTCAAAGAATTTAGAGGTGTAAATTGAAAATATGAGATCTAAGGTAAAAATATGGTAGAAGTTAGGGTTTAATATGAGAAAAACAAAAAAACATTGAAAAGGTCAGTTCCAAAATACTTTTATGATTTCCATAAAAAATACTTTTATATGAAAGAGTTCCCAATTTTGCTAATCTTAGATCAACATAAATTAAGCTCCCAATATGAAAAGGATCTATCTGATTTAGAGTATTTGACTAGCAATTTATAAAGTTGTCTTAGTGGCAGACGTATGACTAAACTCACGGACATTTGGAGTCACAATCACACAACGTGCATGAAATGCACCGCTCATAGTTTTTTTTACAAACAAATCTTGCATCTAGCCGTAGTCAAAAGCAAGATTTGGATTACAATTTTTTTTGGCGGTTCTTTTACGGTGCACGTTAGCGGGCGATTCTTTCGTTGCTAACGTGTGCCCCCGCCGTGATTCTTGGGTTCTTTTACGGTGCACGTTAGCGGGCGATTCTTTCGTTGCTAACGTGTGCCCCCGCCGTGATTCTTGATGGGAAAAAAGAAGAGAAAAAGTGAGAGCAAGATCTTTAGTATTGGATTAAGATCTTTGAATTCTGATCTTGTTACTCCTGCGGATCAATCTGATACCAGTTTCGTTGAAGATGATGAAGAATCTGATCTCAATGCTATGGGGTCAACGGGACCAAAGGGGGAGAAATTGAGGAAATCTATGGCGGAAATCTTATCTTCAAGCTCCAATTCTCTTCCTCTGAGCTCTCCTCCGGTGGCTGGGGTTAAATCTCGTTTACTCTGTAAGTCTCTGCACTCTGAATCTCATAGATCTGATAGTCTTTCTTGGGCTGATGCTAAAGATTCTGAGGAATTCCTTTTATCTCAACATCTTTCTGCTAAATCTTCAAGAATCTTGGATTCAAATACAATACCTGATCCAGGAAAAACTTTTCCTGTTGAGAAATTATCTGATGTAGTTTCTTCAGATGATCAAAATGAGTCAAAAAATGAAAATACAAATGGAGTTTCTCTGGATTTTCCTCCTCTAGAGTCTGGCAAAGTCTTGAAAAATACGATCCCTGCTAGCAGTAATGCAAAGAAAAGCTGGATTAGTTTCTTTTCTGACAATAGAAAGCTTGGTTGTGGTCTTGATTTGAATTATGTTCCCCCAAATGAAAAAGATACAGTGTTTTTTGAGGAGGATGAATGGTATGAAGGTGCATCTATTTGGGATTCTGCACTTATTGGTCAAGTACTGGGGATATATATCAAGTTTAAGGCTATGGAATCTTTTGTTCAAAAGGTTTGGTCACATTTGGCTTTACCTGAGATCTGCATTCTTAAGCCAGGACTATTTTTATACAAATTTAAAAGCAAAGAAGATATGAGGATTATTCTGGAAAGTGGTCCTTGGTTCTTTGGATCTAGACCCCTTCTCCTTAAACCATGGTCGATTGATGAAGAAATAGGTAAAAGAAATGACTGCTTGTATCCAATGTGGATTCAGTTTCCAGGTCTAAGACTGAACTTGTGGAATGCAAAATGTAGCAGTAAAATAGCAAGTCTTATTGGCAAACCTATTGCCACTGATAAGCTTACTGCAAGCAGACAGAGGCTAGAATATGCTAGAGTTCTTGTTGAGGTTAATATGCCATCTCCTCTTCCAGATCATATCTCCATTCAGGGGCCAAAAGGGGAAAATATTACTCAGAAGGTAATCTATGAATTAAAACCTAGATGGTGTGATTTTTGTAAACAAGTGGGACATGAAACAAGCTATTGCAAGAGGAAAACTGGAATACAAAGATGGGTCCCTAAAAGCAAAGTTGTTTCCAAAGATAAAAATAAGCTTGGGAACAACTTGAACCCACTTGATGTTCATGATATTGCTCAAAAAAAGGCTGTTGATAAAGGAAAAGAAATCATTCAAGATTCTGCAAGTTATGATGACTGTATAAATGATTTTCAGACTGAAAGGACCCCTGTGCATGTTGTACATGATAAGAGCCTGAATGAGCATAGCAGCAGGTTTGTACAGTCTGGTGTAAAATTGACTGAAAAAGAACCTATCTATATACAACAAGCTCATATGGTGCATGTTCTAGGGAATGGAGTTGATATACAACAAATAAGCAACAAGACTGGTTTGCTGCAGGCTGTGCATGTTGATGAATGTGCACAGAAACCTGAATCTGGTTCAAAGCAAGTACTTGGTTCTGGGAAAAATGCTGATAATTCTTGGATACTTGTTCAAGGCTCCAGAACAAAAAAAATGCATCTCCATTAGTATCCAGTTGCTCAGATATTGATCCCTCTGTAATTGATAGAGGGGGGGCTATCCTAGATGAATTTGACTTTTTGGAACATTAGGGGATTGAATAAATCCTCTAAACAGCTCTTGGTCAATAAATTTTTGTTACAGTATCATATTTCTTTCATAGCTCTCCTGGAAACCAAAATCAAAGAATCAAAATTACCAAATTCTGTCAAGAGGATTACAAATGACTGGAAATGGTTATCAAATGTCAGGAACTCCTCGAAAGCTAGGATTCTTATTCTGTGGGATCCTAGAATTCTGGATACTCAGATTGTAAATATTTCAGACCAGCAAATTACTTGTGCAGTTAAATCATTTGATGGGAGGCTGGATTGTGTCATCTCATCTGTATATGGTTTCAATCAGATGGAGGGTAGAAAAGAATTATGGGCAGATTTAATTCACATTCAGAAATCAATAGGAAATGTTCCCTGGCTCATCTGTGGGGACTTTAATGCAATGGCTGATAAAGATGATAAGCTTGGTGGTGTAGTCCTCTCTGACTCAGATACCAGGGACTTCAGCAATTGCATTGCAGACTGTCACCTAAACCACATGAAAACACTAGGCTGTTTCTATACCTGGAATAACAAGCAAGAAGCAGAAACAAGAGTATGGAGCAGACTGGATAGAGCTCTAATAAATGATCAATGGATTTCTGCCTATAATTCAAGTTATGCAGAATATTTGTTACCTCAATTTTCAGACCATTCCCCAGGCCTGATTTCTATCTATGAGGACTGTTTACAAGGGAAAAAACCATTCAAATTCTTCAAGATGTGGACCAAACATGCTGATTATTTGCCTACTGTTTCTGATATTTGGAAAACAGATATTCAAGGGTGTGCAATGTACTCTGTTTACACCAAACTCAAAAAGCTGAAGGAAGCTTTGAAAATACTAAACAAGAGACATTTTCACAATATTAGTGAACAGGTTCAAAGAGCAAAAATAGTCTTGGAAGATACTCAGAGCAAACTTCAAAATAACCCTCTAGACACTATACTCATCAGTAGAGAAAAAGAAAATCTTTCTTCTTATAACAAGTTGCTAGACTGTGAAGAATCATTCTATCAGCAAAAAGCTAGAATAGCTTGGAGTGTGCATGGTGACAGAAGCACAAGATATTTTCATTCTACTGTCAAAAGGAACAGACATAACAACAATGTGGGTGTTCTTTATAACAGTAGAGGGGACAGGATTACTGATGGGGGGGAGATTGTTACTGAGCTTATTTCTTTCTTTACTAATCTGTTGGGTACTTCTGTTGCTACTTCTCCCCCAGACAAGAACATTATCAAATCTGGTCCTTGTCTGTCTGAAGCTCAAATCAAGGATTTATCAAAACCAGTATCTATAGAGGAAATTAAAGAGGCTATCTTCTCCATGTCTGATAACAAAGCTCCAGGGCCTGATGGATACAGTGCTTCTTTCTTCAAAACAGCTTGGCCTGTCATTGGTGAAGATATTTTAAAATCTGTAAGGGATTTCTTCAGGAATGGTAAGTTACTGGGCTCTATAAATTCCACTGCTATTACCTTGGTTCCTAAGGTTCAATGCCCAAAAACTCCTGCTGATTTCAGGCCTATTGCTTGCTGTAATTGCTTATACAAATTCATTTCTAAAGTCCTAGCTAATAGGATAAAATCAGTCATAGGCTACCTAGTGGATGAAGCACAAAGTGCCTTTATCAAAGGCAGACAGATCTTTAGAAATATATCTCTTGCGCATGAACTTGTTAAAAACTATAAAAGGAAACATATATCACCAAGAGTTATGCTCAATATTGATATTAAGAAGGCTTTTGATACGATCAGCTGGAGCTTCCTTACTGACATGCTAAAAGGGCCGAATTTCCCTGAGGTCATGATTAATTGGATTAAAACATGCATTTCTACTCCCTTTATTCTGTGCAAAAGTTGCAACAATGTGTTAAGGAGTTTAGTGCAATATCAGGCCTTGTTGCAAACCCTGAAAAGAGCTCTGTGTTCTATGGGGGTTTAGAGGTATCTGTAAAATCCTCTATAGCAAATCATCTGGGTTTTACTGAAGGAATTTTGCCAATCAAATACCTGGGGGTTCCCCTCATTTCTAGGAGATTATCTTTCCTGGACTGTGAGCCTCTCTTCTCAAAAATAACTAATCAATTACAGAGTTGGATGAAATATAGGAACCTCTCATATGCGGGCAGGCTACAGATTATTAAAAGTGTCATTTTGGGAATCCAAATCTATTGGACATCTGCCTATATACTCCCAATAAGTGTCCTGCATAAGATTGATGAAATGTGTAGAAACTTTCTATGGGGAAAAACAAACCAAGCTCACAAAAAGCCACCACTAGTTTTATGGGAAAAAGTCTGTCAGGGTAAAAGCAGAGGTGGCCTGGGCATTTTTTCTGCTGTACATTGGAACTTTGCTTCAGCTGTTAGAACAATTTGGTATATTCATGAAAACAAAGAATCACTTTGGATTAAATGGGTTCATGAGAGCTATCTCAAACAAGGTAATATCTGGCAAATTTGTGCTAAGAGGAGTGATTCTTGGTTATGGAGGCAACTGTTGAAAATGAGAGACAAAGCTATTGTCTTTTGTGGAGGAGTTGGTAAACTGAAAGAACTCATTATCTCTTGCTGCCAGGGATCAAAAATTAAACTCTCTGCTCTATATGAAGCTCTTGCCCCTGCTGCCAGTAAGGTTCAGTGGTACAAAACAATTTGGGATGATTTATCTATCCCTAAACATTCATTTATCCACTGGTTAGCAGTTCAGAACAAACTGCTAACTCAAGACAGACTTATGAAGAGAGGAATCATCTCTATTAATTCATGTAGCCTGTGTACAGGTTCTTGCTTGGAGACTAGAGATCATCTATTTTTTGAGTGCACTTTCTCATGCAATGTTTGGAATCACATTATGGAATGGTTGAAATTTGATTGGAGATCAACGAACTGGCAGCTGCTTCAGGTCTGGTACAATGCCAGGCTAAGGGGAAAGGGAGCAAAGCAAAGGATTAAAAGACTAGCATTGAATGCTACAATATACAGCATTTGGAGAGAAAGAAATCTAAGACTTTTTCAGCAGCAAAATAGAAATGAAGACCAGCTGGTGAGAGTAATAAAGATCGATATAGCGACTATCATCCTTAACAGTACTATTCTGAAGTATAGAGATGAATATCCCTTGATATTGTAAGGGTTTTTTGTATTTTCCTTGTATTCTTGCAATCTCAGTTAACAATAACTGAGTATCATGCTGTACATATAATCTCTTTCATTGGTGAATGAATAAAAATTTTTCATTGACCAAAAAAAACAAAAGCAAGATTTGTTCATGAGTGGTTGCATGGAGGCTGCTCTCCAAATCAAGGATTGCAATTTGAGACTTCCCCTTCCAATTATATCATTAGTTATAGATTAGTTGGCCAATAAATTTAAGTGATGACTTGTGCGTTATGTATTAGGAAGAGCTAGAGCTAGGTAGGCTTAATTAATTACCTTAGCAGTTGTACATCCAATGTGTTCAGTGATCTCAGGGAGATGTAGTCATGTCACGTTCAGATGTTTTCATGTTATTTTGCGATTATGACTAACGAGCATTAATAAATTTTGATGGAGGTTTAACAGAGATCCTACCGAGCTCGGTGCTGGCTAGGAAAGAAAATTAATTTCCATTAACTTCAGGCAAAAATGTTTTCATCCCTAGGATATTTTGAAACACGGAACTCCTCTTGGCTAGTCAAATATGAGAGAGAACTCTTTGATTTTATAAACTTTTAGGCATTGTTTGGTATGAAGGAATGAGTGAAAATAGAATGTTCATTTCTACTTTTCATTCATGCATATCAAACATACCGTCCTTTTAGAAGCTAGAATGCTCATCCCCACTTCTTTATTCCCACGTTTTATGGGAATGAGCATTCCCAATGAGCTAGTAGGAAATGTGCATTCTTATTTAAGTGGGAATAAAAAAATTGAAATACATACCAAATATTTAAAAAATTATTTATGAATTATCCATACCAAAATTAAAAACGTCGCCATACACTCTTTAATCTATAATCACACTCAACCGTAGTAATGGAAATGAATATATCGTTCGCACTCTCATTCCATTTTATTGCCACATCGGTTCCATTTTTACATAATATATGCACTTTTCATACCAATTTATCCATCTCTTAGACCAAGTTTGTGTTGATTTAAATGAATAGTGGAGGATTTATATGGAAGGATATACCATTTATATGGTTGAATTTCATAGATAACATTAAAATGTGTTTAATTAGTAGTATGTGAGTTTTAGTACCACATTAACTAATTGAATGTATTTTAAATGGTTTAAATGAACATATCTACTCTTCTATACTTATAGGAGGATCCAAATAATCATTGTTCACACTACAGTAAATACTACAGTGAATTATTATAGCATAAACAGTAAACCAGATCTCTCCACGCTCGAAATTACTGTTTATAATTTGGTCATCCGCACTTGAAGCACTGTTCATACTGTAGTTACTGTAGCATAAACAATAAATCAGGTTCGAGCCTCCATGCTTGAAGTTACTATTCATTCTACGGTATTCTACTGTAGTATAACAAAAAAAGCAAATTAGATGTATTAAAACACGGATTCTCCTTCAAGTATAGAGGAGTAAATATGATTTCTAAATCAAATATATTAAAATTTAGATCATTTTTTAAGTATATAGGAGTAGATATCATTTCAAATTTTAGGCGTACAATAATTAAATTAAATGTATTAAAACTTAGAGGAAGATAAGTTTAAAATACCGTGATTAAAAAAAATGGGGTCGTGCTTTGCACGGGACGCACACTAGTGTATTATATATGGCATAACAAAGGTGTTAGAAATGTATGTGTGTTGGTATGCTAGCGAGCGAGCGGGTACGTGCACGCAGGCCGGCGTGTGCCCTTTTTGCATGTGCTGCATTTAACTAGCCTGAACGTTTCATTGTTATGAACATTACAAGGTTTGAATGATAGTTATAGCAGACATTACCAACGTTGCAATAATTGGCATTTAGAGCCTTGTCTAACCCCTCAACTCACCTGAACCCTATATAAAGGGCGTCCTCTGTTTATTTACGAGACACAGAAAATAGAAACATAATTATTCTCTTGTGTTCAACAGAAGAGAGCGCTTCTTTGGACTACTGTTGTCTCATCATCGGAAGTATTGTGCAGGCCCAAGGCTACCCTAGGTGATACATAAAATTTCTTTAAGTCTAGTCCTCTGTTTAGAGGGCAATTCGGTGTTTCTGTAAAGTATCTCAGACTTTAAGTTCATCAGTTATGGTGTTTTTTTAACTCTATGCTCTATTCCTTTGTTTCTGCATGGTTTGTTTAGCTTATGTCTGGATTTATTTTTAATCTTGTTATTCTCAACAATCTACCGTTTATATTTACTTTTCATATGCTTATGAAAAGAACACAAAAGAGGGCTCGAAGGGAGACCATGATCAACGATGAAGGAGAGAAAAAGAAAAGAAGAGAGGAACTAGATAAAGGAATAGATCATACAATAAACTTACAAATCTCGGAAAATTTCACTCTTGACTGGTCATTTTTGGAGGCAACACAAAAGTAAAAATATATACAAGAGATCAAATGCTAGCGTCTGACATCATAATCAGCGGTTAATTTGTGACATACCTTTGATTTAGACTTGTTTCCAAGAAACCTAATCAGAAAGAAGAAAATTCAAATGCTAGCCACCAAGAGCAAACTGCCACATCAATAATTTGAATGAGATGTTTCTCAATTAGTTAACCAACCAAATGATAATGCTAATTAATTGTGATCATCATTATCATTTCCTAAATTCAAACAATATTTCTTTTCAAGTGTATAATGGCCGTATATAACAAATTTATACAGCTGCTGTAAACAGTAAACTGATGTGATAAATCTCGTCAGCAACAAGTCCAGGTAAAATTTTATTGAGAAAAAGTCACTACGTAGCAAGTGACATCCTTTACACTTTTACTAAATCAATCATGTCACGTAAATTAATAATCAGCTCAACAGCCAACAAGAAACTTTGGGAAAAAAGAAGAAGAAATAAAGCTCTTCAGAATTGCAGTTTAACCATCTCTCTTGAATTCACACCCTGCACGAAGTGTGAACAGAATATGACGTGTTAGAAAAACAAAGAATTAATAGATATACAACCAGCGAGAAAAACAAGTTGAGTAGCTTCCACAATTAAACAAGTCAAGTCTTTGCCAAACTATGGGTCAGCATCTAGATCCATTCATTTTCATTAATAAGAAATACGTTTAACTTGAATGGAGACTAAAGGATAGAGAAAGATCCATGAAGGTGATATCCATCATTGATAAATTCGAGGTCAACTATTGAGATAATATATAGTGCCAACCAGTCCCCAGAACTATTCAATTCAAACTTTAGGTACATCCCAGTAGCAGACCTAAGCACTCAACTATTCATCATTATCAGATAAAATAGAAGCAGAAGGTCTCATGTGAAGCATGGTTTTAATTATATTGGTCAAAGTAAGATTAGTAAGTTATCTACCACATATGTAATAGCTTAGCTAACACATATATACTCATATTATAGGTAAAGACGTTGGCGAACTGTTAGAAAAATCATAAGTTCCTCTGGGCCAATTATATCGCGTAATTGACATGTGCTAATGCTTACATAAAAACTATGTGTACGCAAATGCTCCGAATATAAGATACAGCAAAAAAGTTTTAGAAACAAGTAACATGAGTTGCAGTCACCAGTTACCTCACAATTTGAAAATCAGGATAGAGGCTTTATTGTTATTGAGTTTTTCTTATGTTGTAGTTTTTCTCAGAATATTTGGTAGCAATTTTTTCAAAATGAGCCGCAAACATTATTAGATCCTATGCCTAAGGTATATTTACCAATATTACCTTGATTCATGTATCAGCCTTCAAAGTAGTAATTTATAGGATGTTAAACTTATCATATAAAGATGATTGAGCTTAACAGAATTAAGTAAAGTGCCCCAAATCATAATCCCTAATCTGTCCTATATATTTTGCTTGACTTTCTTCTCGTTTACGCAACATCAGCAATCGAAAGCTATAGCTGTAAAGTTTCCAACTTGAATGCCATCCCAATTAACAAAAGGTAAAAAGGGATAGTACGACAATTGCAAATTTTTTTTGACTAATTTGAAATAATGCAATAATCATGTTAATTTTCAACTTAAAGAGCCCAGATGAAGAAGACATTAGGAATATGTTCACATTTAGCGGAATTGTGCTTGATCGCCTGCAACATGATCCAAGTAGAAGACACCATGCGGATTTTATTTTAATCTCATTTTTCCATCACCATGTTTTTTCATCTATATATATAGTTACATTTTGCTATATATCAATAAGTCGAAAGCTCTAGCACCCTAATTAGGATTTGAGGGAGTGAGGCACTTACTGAGTGAACTCGATATTGATCACCCCAGCAGATTTATTCGCTACCATCTCAAACGCAGCTGCAGACAGAACAAGAGTCGCGCCATTTCTCGAAGAAATCGACCTTAACTTTGATGCGCGGTCGACAACCGTAATTTGTATTGTTCGCCCAGTATCGCATGCTCTTGGCATTTCAGAGCTGAGGCACCTTACTTTATACTCCCTCCCACATGAAGCTCCATTGTCCCATATCCCTTCGCCCGCTGCTGCAAAGAGCCCATAAGCTGGGAGCTGGCTTGTATCACTTCCATAACAAACCGTAGCTGCGATGAAAAGGAAAAGTTAGTGAACGAATGAAGATGAAATGAGCTAGGGTTGAAGATGTCTGGAAACACTTACGTGTGTACGGTGTAGAATAGTATGCAGCTGTGCCTACATCCGCAGAAGAAGGAGTTAAGAGGAGAAGAAGAGAGAGGAGGAAAACCATGGGGTAGGGAGTCTGGGATTTTAGAGGAAGGGAGAAAGGTCAAATAGGCTTGCGTTCCACTTTGTTTATAAAGCTCCTAGGTCTCTAGGTAGTTCGGACTGTATATTAATGACTATATTCCTTGCCTTATATAATATATTGACATCTTTATATAGAATATTAATCATCTACTGTATATCCCCTTCCCTGTATATAACAAACATGGGATGTGCTACATATGTTAAGCATGTGAAATTGTGCTAGAATCGTCTTATTATTACATGGCCATATGCAGAGTGAAGTGATGAAATGAAACCAAGGCTTTACGCTGTCCCTTTTAATGAGGGAATTTAAAAAAAAAAATGAAACTCCTAAGGTACTAACGTTCATGCAGACAGAAAAAACATGAGTTATATGGCACGCTCTTCTGAAAAGTTATTATGTTACAAGAATATAAAACTATTCTGTGGTAAAGAAGTTGTCTAGATTAATTAAGCTTCATGTTTTGTAAACATCATCAAGCGCCTACTGCATGGCATAGATCAGAATTACCCTGCAGCATTATATATACCTAACCATCCTTTTTCATAAGAGCTAACAATTGCGTTAATTATCTGGTCCAATAATCTCTAAAGGATTGGCTAGTTCAATGTGCAAATTAAAGTTTTTTTTTTTAAAATTAGAAGAGGTTATTCGCAAATCTTAAGAGGGCCTCTCTTAAAGATGGGAACATCATATTTGCGATATAATTAAGCTACTTCTTCGGCACGACTCTAACATGTGGAACGAGTCCGGTTTTGGTCGGAACCGACGGCATACGAGAAGCACATCCACCCCATACAAGTGACTAACAGGGGGGCAGTACTGTAATTGCACCCCTTGATTGTATGGAGCAAAAACAGCCCATTTGCATGCGGGCAGTTCTGAGGTGGTCTTAATTCATGTGGAACCCAAGCAATTCATGGATTGGTCCCACGTGTCAGTGGGCGGCTCTACCAAGGTAGAACAACACTCGGTCCAAATTCTGCAAGCTTTTGGTAGCCGACAGATTCAAACAAAGACTAGGAGTTCTCTTAAATATATAGGATAGATGATGTTCTCTAAGGTGAATTTGACTTTATGGAGCCTGAAGGGTCAGAAACATAAATGAATAGATGAAGTGTAAGGTTTGGATAGTATATGAGGTGTAAAAATTCTCACTAGAAAAATTATAACTCCACCTTTCGATAACACTAGTTACCCAATCTGTATCACTCCTCTTCAATATATACTAGGTTTTGGTATGCAGCAGCTGTTCATTATGTCTTTTAGAATGTTTGTCTGAGGTGATACCGCGGCATTGAAGTTTCAAAGTTGGGTGTTAGGCATGTTCATTGAGTTTAACAAAGCTCAGTGATGAATTATAAACGTGCTATAGCAAGATTTAGAGTGTTTTCTCCATCAATTACAACCTGAAAATTGAGTAGAGTAACATCGACAAAGTTATCTTACTGTTCAAGGAAAATTCACAGCTATCTAAAGTCTAGCTGAAGGCATGAACTTAAGAGAGTGTCCTAAATGCAGGCTAGAGAAGTACTAAATGGGGAAGTTTAGGCAACAAAGATAATGAAGAAATAGGTATATAAGGGGGGGAAACACGAAGAGATATGAAGTAATATCCTGACATAGAGCATTGGATGTGCTCACTGGAGAACAATCACTGATCCTTCTCATCTGTGATCTGTGTAAGTTCTTTGTCTTTGGCTCCTAATTGCTGGCCTGCTCATCCAAAAGAGAATCCTTAGTTAACAGTATTTTTAGGGCCAAATCAGATTGGTGCGACATCACATACAAGAAGATGCACACAAATTTCATGTTATAGAAGATTTCTGTAGGAGACTTGTACTCCTGAAGTATGCACTCACCTTGAGCAGATAAAGGGTAGAAAAAACTATAGCATTCAAGAAATTTGACTTAAATGTATGATCTATCACAGAAGTTGGTTTAATCCAAACAAGAAGGCAAAACTGCTATATAACAGCTTGGATATGTGAAGCAAGTATGTGAAGACTTAAATGTTGTGATATCTATCTCAACAAGATGTATGAGAGATGCTGAATTAGACAGTAGGTCCTCAAGTTTCTCTGTGAATTCAATCTAGGACTTTATCCAGAAGGCCCCAAATCTAAGTGTCAACCTCTCAGGTTTCTTTTTTTTATTTTTTTATTTTTGAGAGAGAGAGGGAGAGAGAGAAGGGATGGGATCCCAAACTGAGATCCCAGACATCATTCTAATTGCCAAACTCTCGTTATTTACAGTGTTGTGCGCGGCGGAAGCTTTCTAGGGCAACACGAACAATAACTTGAACTAAACCACAAATAATATAAAATCCAGAGAACCCCTCGGTCGACCGCACCGGTCGACCGAAACACCTGCGGTCGACTGGCCCGGTCGACCGACCTCCTTTCTGTCGCACAGTAAGCTTTGTACACGAATGCGGTCGACCGGACCGGTCGACCGCCGCCTGGTTTGCCTGATTCTTCTGAGTTTCTGTAATTTCTTCAATTCTCCACCTCGGCGAATGTTTCCACCAAAAACTGAGCCGACACCAAATCATCCAATAGTTCCTCAACAAGTCCAGGAACAATACTCGAGCTGAAACGCGATCTCCCCCCATCTGAATCAACTGATCAAACCGGCTGCATCTGAAAGACTGCCTACGTATCCTCTTGCCCAATGAATCAAGCCGAACGTAGTTCATAATAATGGCCTCCAAAGGCCTCAGCACTGAAGGATGTTCAAAAGCTTCAAATAATGACCAAATTTCACTACTGAAATAACTTTGGTCAACATATCTGCAGGGTTGTCATTTGTGTGGACCTTCTCCAATATGACATCTCCATCATCCAAGACGTCCCGTACAAAGTGGAATCTGACGTCGATGTGCTTCGTGCGCGCATGATAAACCTGGTTCTTCGCCAAATAGATAGCCGACATACTATCACAATATATCCGAATAGTCTCCTGAGTGATCCCCAAGACAAAGTGGAATCTGACGTCGATGTGCTTCGTGCGCGCATGATAAACCTGGTTCTTCGCCAAATAGATAGCCGACATATTATCACAATATATCCGAATAGTCTCCTGAGCAATCCCCAAGTCCTCCAATAATCCACGCAACCATAAAGCCTCCTTAATAGCTTCAGTAACTGCCATATACTCTGCCTCTGTAGTAGAGAGAGTCACTGTGGACTAAAGCGTGCAACACCAACATACAGGTGCACCTGCCAATGTGAAAGCATAACCTGACGTAGACCGGCGTTTGTCAAGATCTCCAGCATAGTCTGAATCCACATATCCAATACAAGCCTGCCCATCCTTCTCATCCTTCTGAAATACTAAACCAACATCCACGGTGCCTCGAACATACCGTAGAATCCACTTCACGGCCTCCCAGTGACCCTTCCCGGGGTCATGCATGTATCTCGATACCATGCTCACGGCCTGTGACAAATCTGGCCTCGTACACACCATCGCATACATCAAGCTACCTACTGCACTGGCATATGGGACCTTCGACATATAATCTCTGTCCTCAACTGAAACAGGTGACATCAACGCTGAAAGCTTGAAGTGGGGAGCCAATGGTGTGCTAATTACTTTTGCATTGCCATCAAAGCTGAATTTATTCAACATCTTCTGCAAGTAACTCCTCTGTGTTAGCTTTAATTTCCCCTTCACCCTGCCTCGCTCGATCTCCATACCCAATATCTTCTTTGCCTCTCCAAGATCCTTCATCTCAAACTCGGATGATAACTCCTCTTTCAGCTTTCGAATAGCCGAAGAATTCCTGGAAGCAATAAGCATATCATCAACATATAAAAGCAAATATATGAGCTCACCATCCTGTAGCTTGCGCATATAAACACATGGGTCATATGGGCTCCTCGTGTACCCTCGGCCAATCATAAAGCCGTCGAATCTCTTATACCACTGTCTTGATGACTGCTTCAAACCATAAAGAGACTTCTTCAGCTTACAAACCAAATCTTCCTTTACTGCAGCTTTAAAACCCTGTGGTTGTGTCATATAGATCTCCTCATCTAAATCACCATGTAGAAAGGCTGTCTTCACATCCATCTGGACCAAGTCCAAATCCAACTGTGCCACTAACGCCAATAAAATTCTAATCGACGAATGCTTCACAACGGGTAAAAATACCTCGTTGTAATCAATGCCCTCAAGCTGTGCATATCCCTTGGCAACCAGTCTGGCTTTGAACCGAATGTCCCCAATAGAGGATCCCTCCTTCTTCGTATATACCCACTTGCAACCAATAGCTTTCTTACCCTTAGGTAGATGTGCAAGTGTCCAAGTGTCGTTCTTCTGAAGAGACCGCATCTCCTCCTCCATAGCTTCCCTCCACCTGATCGAATCGGGGCTAGACTCTGCCTCCCTGAATGTGGCTGGAACCATATCATCAACGACCTCCACTGATAATGCATATGCGACCATGACATCATTATACCTAGCTGGCCGACGAATCTCTCTCCTCGGTCTATCTGCTGCAATGGTCCTCTGAACATGACCCTGTTCCTGAGTCCCATGATCTACTGTATCCTGTATCTGCCCATCTGTCATCTCATCTCCTCCCAGTGTCACCTCTGTAGGAGCCTCAATGGATACAGTGTTCTCTGGAGTGGGTGGAGTAATATCAGTCCACCTGCTGCGATATCTCTCCTGTCTGGTCTCCCTCCACCTGCTGAGGGGCTCGAGGCCTCATCATGTACGCCTCGTCAAATGTGACATCTCTGCTAATAACTATCTTCTTGTCCTGTGGATCCCATAATTTGAAGCCTTTGACTCCATCTCTAAATCCCACAAAGACTGCTTTCCTCGCTCTCGGATTTAATTTACCATCACTGACATGATAATAAGCTGGACACCCGAATATCCGAAGCGACTCATAGTCACTAGCCACCGAACCAAACCAACGCTCCAAAGGAGTCTTCCCATCTATCGCAGTGCACGGTAACCTGTTCACAAGATGGCTCGCATAAACCAACGCCTCGGCCCAAAAAGATCTAGGCAATCCACTTTGCGTCATCATACACCGCACCTTCTCCAGCAAGGTACGGTTCAATCTCTCAGCCACCCCGTTTTGTTGCGGTGTCTCTCGAACTGTGAAGTGTCTTTTAATGCCGTGATCCCGGCAAAACTGCAGAAACGGATCACTCTTGTACTCTCCACCGTTATCTGAACGTAGAGTCTTCGCCTTTCTACCTGTCTGCAGCTCCACTTTCTTCTT